TTATGCCACTGTGGTGTAGCTGAGTCATTCCATTTATTGTCATATACCTCCCCAACCAAAAGATAAACACGTGGGCACCTCCCCAACAAGCATCTACGTGCCTCACACGCAAGCATACCACCTCCAAACAACTAATCAAGCCCTCATGCACCACCATTATATGCCTAGGCGCCTCCCTCTTCTTGCTCCATTTTGAAACTCTAGTGACTCTTCTCAGGTTTAAAGTTCTGGCGAATCCTATTCCAGGACAATTTTGTAACTCTTCATTCTTTTGCTATTAAAATGCATATCTCCCCATTAGAAAGGATATGAACTTTTTCCTCTATTTTTCTTTTCTTTCACTTGCCTTAGTAGAATCTCCTATCCTCCTTATCCTCTTGCAATGCTACATCTCTCCTCCCTTTTTTCTTCTTCACCAAAATCGAGGGCCTCCATCAAATCCTATCAAAACTTCATCAAAGTAAATTAAGGAATGATTCTTTCGTTCCTTTTAATTTGGTTTACTAAGCATTTTTGTCCTTTCGATTTGTGTAATTATAGATCAAAAAAGGAACTTTCTTATTCTTTCCATTTAGTTTACATGAATTGGCATGTTAATTTGTTAGCCCAAGTATGCTTACATGCTTCTAGATTCATATATCCTATGTAAGATTCATTTGCAAATTTCTTTTTCAAGCATGATGTAGGCTACTTTTTAACATAATGATGTGACATTTTCTTTCTTGCAAGCATGATGTAGGATTTCCTTTTTGAAAATATGATGTAGAATTTATTTTTGAAAGTTTATGATAGGGTTTCTTTTGAAAGCAAGTTGTAGTGATTCATTTAAGGAAACAATTATTTGTGTTATCTCACATCCATAGCGTGTTCATATGAGATTGAATTCGAAGCATGTTGTATTTGTGAATTTTGATGTTTGAAAAATGATTCCCGATGGATAAGTGGTTATCTGGCATCTTAGTATAGCATGAAAATCCATTACACATTTTGGTAATTAAAGTGATAGATAGCACACTCGAAACTTTTACTTAAGAAATTCGGGAAAGTGGAAGAACCACAGAGCCTAGACCAGTTGAAATAATCTATTATGTAATGGTGAGTACACAGACCCACTCTTCTCCTAAGTTAGGGATGATGGAATTATAAATTTGATGTATGATAGCACTTTATAAATAAAAGTCGTAACGAGCCGCGAAGGACATAGTCGACTGCTTCAATAGTGTTGGTTGGCCAAAGAGGCTATAATTGGAAGTTACAAAAGTTGTGGGTCACATAGGACATAAATGGTCACATAAAATGTAATATTCAATTGTGATAGCACCCGTAGGCCCTATAGAAGAGTTAGGAGCTATATGAGGTGTGGATCACGTAGGTCGTAGTTGATCACATAGGTCATAATGGTGAGTTCAGTTAAAGTTTGTAGGCTATAGAGGTTAGAGTTGGGAGTTGCATGCTCTAAGATAACATTCTTAGGCCACCCAGGCATGCGTTAGGAGCTGCACAAGCTGTGAAAATGCCTCTAGGCCATAGAGGCTGGAGTTTGAAGATGCGAGAGATGTGATGATGTTCATAGGCCACAAAGATCGGAGTTAGAAGCTGCACAAGCTGTGATAACATTTATAGGCTTCATAGGCTGGAGTTGGGAGTGGCACGAGCTGTGATAAAATCTATAGTCCACATGGGCTATAGTGGGGAGCAACACAAGCTGTGATAACTTCTATAAGCCATAGAGACTGAATTAGGGTTCGACAAAAGCTTTGATCATTAATGCAAGACATAGAGGCAAATGTTCGGAGTTGCACTTGTTGTGATAAAATTTGTTGGCCACATTGACTGAAGATGGGTGCTGCATGAGCTGTGACAACATTAGTAGGCAATATAAGCAGAAGTCGGGAGCTACATGAGCTGTGAAAATGATTGTAGCCAACAAAGGCTAGTGTTGCAATCTGCATGAGTTGTGGACCACATGCGCCATAGTTGGTCATGTAGGTAGTAGTGATGTGTTGTAAAAAGAGAGTTTCAGGATATAATTATGCATTATTTTGCTCGCTAATCCCATCATTATTCAGCTCATTAGTGACATCGGTGTTATCATCACTTGAATTGCTACTCATTATCTGTTACCCTTTAATAACCAATGGTAAATGTATATTTGATTCCAATGTTCCTCAAAAATCATGGGTGGAACTGCCCACTGTTGAAGAATCATAGTGGTTAAATTTATTTTAATAAAACTAATATTAAAAAGTAACATATTTGTTAATACTTATCAATTCATATCAATATTATCCATAAACATTGTCGATGACAATTTGATATTATGTATTCTATATTATACTCATCTATTTGAGTCAGAATAATCTACACAAAAATTACTATAACAATAATTAAAGCTTTCGTTAGATAAATTTTAGTTTCATCGTTATTATTAACATTAGTTGCAACGAATTCATCATCAATTGAGAAATGATATACCAGATTCAAGGTATACATCAACAAGTCATATTTCAAGCTTCAAAATAGAAAAATTTTCAACTCTATATTTGTCAATTGTAGTCAGACATGAAAAGACCTACTTTTTCTCCTTCTCACTTTGGCATGAGGTCAAGATACACATAATTCTCCGTCATACCCTGAGATCAACTAGACAACAGCTCCACTAACTTTTGTACATAATTGTACTAAAATTAAACAAAAGATATTATCATTATGGATAAAATTCTTGAATGTAGTCAAAGAATGGTGTAGTACAATAATGCAAGATCCAATGTTTATGGAAGGACAATGAATCATACATTACTTGATATTATTAATGGACACGGAGAAGTTTTAAAGAGAATAGAATGACTTAAAACTTCAACTTGCAAGGAAAGAATACAACATGTTCACTAGCTAAGTTACACTTAAAAACTTAATTAAAAATGGACCATTAGATTCTACCATATAGAAGAAAAAGAAGCAGATTTCTAACCATCAACATCTACCACATGGTACCAAAAAAGCAATGTTCTAACCAATATTTAAGAACAAAGTTTCAAAAAGAAAATAACGTAGAACCAGTTACTAAAAATCCCGAATCAATCATTGATACAGCATTGTTACTATTCAGGAATAATACGTAAAAAAAAGAACTAAAACAAATAAGAAAATTATTTATATGTAATGTATATTCTGGTTTGTTTGTTTTTTGAATTTGTAAAATATATATAGAGGTTATATAGGAAAGTTGATGAAATTTTGAGGCTTATGTATAAAGATATCATTCTTTAACGCTTGATACATCATTGTCTTGTCGTTCTACTTATTATATTCCTCGTAAAAAGGCAATACTTCATTCTAATTATTTGGTTCATAAAACTTTTATTCTCTACAAACTTAACATATCATGAAAAACATATTCACTAAACTACGGACAGGAAATGATTAATACAAATTCTTTATAAATTTTGCAATGAAATGAACTCAATTCAATCAAATAACAAAGCCATTCAAATCCAAATAAAAATGCATACCACAATGAAGACAAACATTCCTCCACAAACCTACATCATCGGCTGCTTCATAAGTGAGATTATAAGAAATAACAACATTACAATAATATAAGCAAATAAAAACTAAAAAATCAAAAGACTGCTGGGACGAAAGTCCAATCGATAAAATGAGAAATGCAGACAGTCGCATCAATTGTTGCCTGAGAATCTCCAAGTTAACCGAAAATGTCACATCCTCGCCATAGGAAGCATAAAAATCCACTTACTCAGGAGCACATGAAAGCTACACAAAAAATCATCTTGAACTCCCTCAAACATTCAAAATCATAATTGGAAGCACACTATTGCAATTTATGCATACCACAAATCATACACATTGTGCGATTAAATATACCACAAATCAAGGGCATGAAGCGAACCTTCAACACTTCGTCGGAGCAAGAGCAGGATGTCGTGACACGGCGAGAAGGCTGGTTATGCTACCCTCGATGAGCGATTTGGTGGGCATTGAGGTGTATCAAGGAGGCTAAGCGAGTTGCCACAACTCGTTCAATTTTAAAATTTTGTTTAATTTGTTTATTTAAAACATTAAAATAAAAAATTCCTTTTTTTAAAAATTCGTCTTTTCCCTCTTAGTGATGAGAAAATATTGCGTCCGGACAATGGACGCGACGCACAGGCGATGTTTTTTCCCTCATCCGCTGCATCGTCTACATCACATCCGTTGTTCGAACACAACTTACATCATAACTTTGACGCAATATTTTTTTTCCTTAATAATGTGCACTCATTCGAGAACCTGTAATTGTTCACTCTTGTTTACGATGACAGTGAAGCACTTGTGTAAAGAACTTTAATTAAATCCAGGAAAAAAGAAAATAAAATTCTTCGCAGAACAAGCCCTTTATTCCCGGACAGTAGCCAGATTTTGCCTAAAGCAACCCGACCTTTCCATCCCTGTCGAACGACTGGGCCGGGCCTATCGACCCAGCCCACGTCGCAAGATCGCGGAAGCACGAACCACGATATTCTTGTCGCACGTGCAAAGGACTAGCTCATCACGCTCGCGCGCCGTGATGCTCGGCCACGTGTTAAGTTCGTTAAAAAAGGACAGAGCAAGTCATAAAATAATAACATTTTTCAAATATAGTTGGAAAAAAAAGTCCTGACAGATTTGTTCTTCCCGTCGCCGTTAACTGACGGAGATGCCGAGGCGGGAAAAAAAGAAAACAGTAATACATTAAAATAAAATTTTAAAACAAAAGAAAAAGACCCTAAAAAGTTTTTACACCCAAAACTTTGATATATAACTATTTCATACCAAAACTTTCATAACTATAACTATGTCAAATCTATTTTTTCATTCATTAGATAAAATGCTGTGTATAAAAATGAAATGTTAGATGCGAGATAGTTAAATTCATACGAATAAAATGTTTTCTCTAAAAAAATTTAATAAAAAACATCTCAATTGACTAACAATAAAGACTACTTCGTTACAAAATCGAACGCAAAATTGGATCAATCTCCTTAGGACTCGTTTGAAAGTGCGGCTTGTGATTAATGTTCGCTCTGTCATGTGAATTTTGAAGGAGCTTTGCAATGAGCCTTAGAAGATACCACTAGTAACAGCCGCCGGAAGCGGGTCAAGCGGGAACAAATCCGTGATATCTTCAAAGAAATCATCGCCGTCTTGATGCAAAGACGAACCGATCTCATATCCTCCATCGGAAATCTGCAATTCGCCGGCGAAGAGACCGAACTCAGCCGACCAGTTATTGAAAACCCTCTGCTCATACACTCCCAAGTCCAAGTTTTCACTGTAAAAAGGCATTTCGTCGAACAAGTTGAGATCACCTCCGAATTCAGGCAACCCGGCTTCCGCTTCCGCAACAGTATTGGAAGGGAAACCTCGCAGAACAGAGGTAGGCGAGCTAGTGTTGTGCGAGTCTTCGCTGGATTCATACCCAACGGAGATAGAGTGGTTCGTCGCCGGCGGCGGCGGCGAGAAGTTAGTGGTGGCGTCGGGGCCGCGAAGCTGTATGGCAGCAGAGTCATAGACCTTCGCGGCCTCCTCAGCAGTGTTGAAAGTGCCAAGCCAGACACGAATCCGCCGCGTGGGATCTCGAATCTCCGCTGCAAATTTCCCCCATGGTCGCCGCCGGACGCCGCGGAATCTCGGTATCGCAGGCATCGGTTGAGGTTTCTTCAGAGCAGCCGCGACCTTCTTCTTCCTCTGACCTGCGCATGATTTGCCCGACTTAATCTTAGCAGAGCAGGTTGCAGTGGACGGCTGAAGTTCGAACTTGATTTCTCGCACATAACGCTTCACTCTGCGGCGGCTGAAGCAGCAGTCATCGTCGGAGGAATCGGTGGCATCGATATCCTCGCAGAAGATTCGGACTGTCTGAGAGCGCAGATTTGTTGTATTTAGCGGTCGGGAGGTCACGTCGATGTGAACTGTGCGCTTGATCGGATCTGAGCGTTGCTCTTCCATCATCCTTGAGCTTTTGGTTCTGTTTAATGAGATAGCATTATCTGTAGGCGAAAAACGGGATTTTAATCAGAATGAAAAAAAAAGCCAAAAGAGGGATTCCTGCTCTTTTAAGCTATCAGGGGGAATAAAGATGAGGAGCATTGAAAGGAGACAAAAAACCAGAAATAAAGTAGAAATTGAACGGTTAAAGTGAAAAAGTGAAGTTTCGACGAAAGGGAAGGCGGACTGCGATGCAGAGAGCGTGCGGAGAAAGAAACAACATAGTACGGATTCTTCCATTACTGATATTGCGAAATAAGAGAGATTTTTCCCCTCCACAGAGAGAGAGAGAGAGAGAGCGAAAGGAGTCTGTGCAGAGAACTGGCGGGAGGGCTTTGAGAGAGAGAAAGGAGAGAAATTTCTTCTAAAAAATGGTTACCTTACTGATGGAGACGTTGTCCAGCGAGCTGTAGCCTGTAGTCCTTTTTAAATACATAAGCCGTGCGGAGCTCTACCTTCGTCGAAATCTCTGCTTCTGCTCCTACCAAGAATAGTAGAACCCAGGAACAGAGAAGGCAGCCAGGAAGAAGAATAAGGTAGAGAGAGAGAGAGAAAGAGAGAGAGAGAGGGCGCTAGAGTTCGGAGGGAAGAAGGTAAGGGTTATTAGTTGCCATAGGCTGTGGAGCAGAGCTTCACTGTTTTATAAGAACAGTCGGAATCAGAAAACACCCACTGTTGTTATTTATTAATTTCCAAGAATTTAACTTTTATTGCTTGATTTCCATTTTTACATTTCAGTCAAATATTATAAGGCATTTAAATCAGGGCATTAACGATCAGATTCCATCTGCTTAGAGGTGAAAGTTGATACAAAGTTCTTTAATTTGATTTTGGGTTGAGTTAGCCAGAGTTCATTTGGGGGAAAAATATTATATCAGGATTCTTAACGTAGAGTTACATTCAGAGTCCACTGATATACGGGCACTTGGAGGTGACAGAAAAAAAAATCATTTAAGCGCAGGAGAATATTATTCTTGTGTTATTTTGCATTATTCAGGTGTTATTGTGATGGTATTCATGTGTTATTGTGTTCTGAGAATATTTTTGGTGTTATAATAACATAATAACACATTAATACTACAACAATAATATCTAAATAAAGCAGAATAGCACATAAATAATATTCTCCTGTGTTACCAGGCCGGATCCCAGGAAAACGAGCGCGTTTTCTTGAAGTCACATATCTGCATATGAGTGGACTCCGAACGTAGCTCTGCATTACGAGTCATGTTGTAATATTTCTCCCATTTGGGGCCTCTGGGTCTTTTTTTAATATATTTTTTATTTTGTAATTTATTTTATTTTATTTATATTTTGATGTAAATAAAATATATTTGTTATGTTAAAAAAAAATTATTTTTAAAAATAGCAATATATCTAAAAAAATTTTTTGAATATTTTTGAAATGAGCTAATTTGTTTTTCAATAAAAGTATAAAAAATATAAAAATAGTACATAAAAACATATTTTTGAAAAATAAAAAAAAACAAAATTGATCGTAATTAACTCTTAACAATTAAAACTCCGTACAAAAAAAGAAAATCCAATTCTGGTGGCTTCCTTCCGTTCAAACCATAATGATGGCCTTATACTGAAACATTTCATGTATTTTTTTTATAAATTTTGGCTTGTGATATGTTTCGAAATGCCCTTTTTAAATAATTTCAAAAGCTAATGCTTAAATGTTTAAATAAATTTGCATGTAATTTTTTTTTTTCAAGTTTCTCATGCACTAAATAAGCTAATGTAAACTAGTTATTGTTTGTATATAAGTCTTATGAATATCCACGATACACCACCAACAAATTTCGGTCAGCCAACATGAATCATATGGGATAATATAGATCTCAAGACATTATTTTTGAGCAATGAATATTTGAAGTTTGATTAAAAATTATCTGGAGCTCCGATTTGAACAAGCTTATAATCAAACTGACCGGCGCGATAAGACGATCCCAACAGTAGAAAATTTGACCCAATCAAAACCAGATCAAGCCATTCAACCACTTTTTGAAACTTTTCAGATAAAATTCGAAGGTCAAATAAATACAAAATATGACATGATTATAGTCAAATCGATTATCTCGTTGAGACGAATTCAACAAGTTAAATATTGTTGAATTCTGACATTATTAAGATAGTCTAATGTCCATCAAATGATGTCCTATCAAGGGGATCTCTTCAGGTCATCCGATCAACAGTGTTTTGGATTTTTTTTTCTTTATTTACAGTTTGGACTCTATAAATAGAGCCCAAATCCCCTCATGAAGAGGTTCCCGGACCTTGGAGCAAGAGCAAGTTCAAAGTTTGCATAAGAGGGAGTTGCAACACTGCATCCTACATTGTATATCCAACCAACTCTACTCCCTACCGCCATCTTGGGTTGGCTTCTCCATCGCCTCTTCCGCCCGTCACCGCCCCAACTTTTGTCCACCGTCGCTTCCTTTGGTAGCTGATGCTTCTGGCCACCATCGTTGCCTCAGGCAACCTTCTCCTATGCCTCTTCCAGTCTCCTCATAAGGCTGTCGCTTCTTCCAGTCACTACTGCTTCCCGTTGCCACCGCCTCAGGTCTCCTTTGCCATTGCCTCTACCGTCCACCACCTCGAGTATCCGCTACTTTTGGTCCCCGCAGCTTCCAGCCACAGCAGTGTCTCAGCCAGCTTTCGCCACCGCCTCTTCCAACCGTCGGTGACTCCTTAAGCTAAATCTAGTCAACGCTGACTCGGGCAGCCACCTCTTCCAATTGCCACCGCCTTCATATACAAGTAACTCTGATTCCTATGGCCTACAAACATCATCATAAATCACCAATATGACCTACGTGATCAACTACAATTTAAGTGGTTCACAACTCGTGTAGCTCCCGACTCCGACTCCCACGGCCTACGAACATCGTCACAGCTCGCCACTTCGGTCTCGCGACCAACATTGACTTACGTGATTTACAACTCGTGTAGTTTTACGGACGTCGTCACAACTCACCACTACAACCTACATGACCAACTATGAACTATGTGAATCACAACTCGTGCAAATGCTGACTTTGGCCTTTGTGGCCTATAGATGTTATCGCAACTCACTTTTACGATCCATGTGACCAACTATGGCCTACGCGGCTCACAACTCCTACAACTTTCTACTTCGATCTTTGTGACCAACTAACGATCCTGAAGCATGTATTTATGGTTTGCATGACCAACTAATGCCATGATATTTAACTATAGTCGATATGACAAGCTGGTGCTACAGCTACCATCAATAACATTCACATTAGAGCAATCAACTACGATCCTTGCAACCTACTATCATCGAGAACCACACTCATTACAACTAGAATACGACTATTATTGATGAACCACTATTATACATTTGTAATGATTATCTTTATAACTCCATCTTTCAAAATTTAAGAAAAGAGTGAACTCTTATACTAAAAAATATATTATGGATCATTTCACCTGAGCTAGATCTCATGGTTTTTTCTTTCTTCGGGATTTTCACGTAAAAACTTATGATATCACTATTTGCTGCTTACTTCTATCTAAGTATATATTGGATTTCCTTGTTATGTTAAGACGATAATTCACTACTCTGTCATCGTGACTTTTCTAGCACGTATCAATCCACATAAAAAATTTAGGTTATTATGACAGGATTTATTTTGAGGCATATTGCATGACCCACTAACGAATACTAATGGAGGCATCTCTAACATATTTATTAAATTGGTAGATTCTAATTTGTTGAAGGATTCATACTATCAAGAAAAGAGCTAAAAAGGAAGGTGGGCTCAAAGACTAGAGAAAATAAGTAAAATTGAGTGACTCGAATGCTCAATAGAAAATCTTGCTTATTAACACTAGTTATATTTATTTATAGATGAATAAGTGTGAAATATGTTGTATAACATAATAATAAAAGCTTGCACGTTAGTATATACTCATACTTGTTTTTTTTTATTATTTCCACTTCTATGTTTCAGATTCAATAAATCTTCTACCAACCTATTCAATCCTGAGGCAAGTTGGCAATATCACTCTATTTCTTGGAGAACTCGTCGTTGAGTTCGCAGCATGCGATTCGCCTGGGCTTCCCAGCAAAAGACAGAGTTGTCTTGGTGAAGTAACATTGGTCAACTTCTCCAGCGAGTTGTTTGAACAAACAATCTGGCCGAGCCATTTTGCTGGATCGGCTGGGTGGCTCCTATCATGATCCAAACC